TAGAAATTTAAGACTCCATAAGGTGTTCCATTAGAACTAAATAGTGAGTGTAATTAAAACAGGAAGAGTGCTTTTATCTGACTTTTTTCTCTGCAGCTATTGATTTTTATTTATTTTTTTCTACTCTAATGCTACTTCTATTTGCAGTTAACATCTTTTACCAAAATTGGTATTTCCCTGGAGTCTCATTTTAGTCTTTTAACATGTATCAGCACTTTTGGCATTATGCTATTGTCTACCTGTTTTAAAGTAAATGAATTAAAGTGCACAGCTGTTCAATTAAAGCATTAGCCAGTATCTTGAGATTTTAGGCATTTTGCAGAAGTGCTGTGCAGGGGTAGAAAAGACACCTGGTGATGTGAATTATTTTGTGTATAGGTGTGTTTGGTTTTTTTGTGGTTTTTTAATTTTTCAATTACTGTAAAAACTGTTTGTTTTTAAATTGGCGAATACTAAAGAGAAAGAGTTGCAATGTGGAACTGTAGTGTGGGAATAACTGTCTGAAATAAAGTATGATCCTTTATGTGATACGATTTTGATATAACAGAAGCACACACAATATGAAAACAGAATTGATGTTGCTTAAATTAACCAAAGTCAGGTGTTGCATGTGTGCTGCATAATAAATAATATCCATCTCTTGCCATTTAGTTTTATAATTAAACTGAAATAGTCAAAGTCAGTATTTATTTTCATTCTGTACATACTAAAAGTTGTTGCCTATATTTCTGATAACAGGTAGCATGTATGCAACTCATCAATGCCCTTGTTACATCTCCAGAAGATCTTGATTTCAGGATACACTTGAGAAATGAGTTTTTACGTTGTGGCCTGAAGAAAATACTGCCTGTAAGTAATTTGTATATAGGGATTGATCACAGTCAACTGTTTGTGTTTGTTGAAGATAACCAAATTGTTTTACTGAGAGTAGCAGATGTGGAAGATCGGGGATAGGGAAGGTCAGACCTGGAAAGGACTATCAATCCAAATCTGCTTTTATTCTGCATAGTTGCAAATTTAGGCTCTTATGAGCTATGTAAACCAGAATGGTAGTTGAAACCAGTCAATATATTGGGAATTAAATTAGGGTAGCCATCAAATTTAACATAATGAGCTCAAAGCACATAAAGTGAATGTGAGTCTGGCTGTGGAACCAATCTTGGATTAACTTTCTTTGTATATGCTGTTCCTGTTGTTTTCTGTGAAATCTGTTTTTCTTTAATCTGCCTTCTGAAAATGCATTTGGAGTTTTTAAGGAGAAATCAAATTGACTCCTTTGTTCTCTCTGAGGCTGCATGTCATCATGCAGCTGCACAGAAGTATGCCTTTATGGGTGGTTGCGTATGAATATTTGTGATTTAGGGGTAGATTTGTAGCTGTTGACCAAGAAACCATTCTGATGCTTACATCAAGAATATGTATAATTAAGTTACTCAGCAGTTTCTCACTAAAGATGAGAGAAATTAAGGAGGACCTGGTTATATTTGTCTGAAACAGAATTTATACTGCTATAACTTTAAAGATATGACGTTTTCAGTCATCAACATCTGTCAGGAATAAAAACCTTCAGTATTGAACACATTCAGCTTTGAAATGGTTACTGGGGTGTGTATGTTAATTTCTTTTAGGTTATGTAGCTGTAATATCATGGAGATACATTAATGTGATCTGCTGTCTTTATTTGCTGAACAGTAGAACAGCTGAAAGTCTGAAAACCTCTGAAGTTTTTTTTTAATCTATTGAAAGCTGGATTATACAATCAATAAATGCTTAAAAACCTTAACAATTGGCAGTGGGTGAGGTGGCCGATAAACCATGATAGAAAATTTCGTCGAGTGTACTGACATACAGATAAGAGTTTAAAAGCAGTTAACATTTAGCGAGAATAATCTTTTCCAAAAAATGTTGAACAGCTATTGTGTTGAAATTCTGTTTCTAGTAAGGTTAATATTTCATGTGACCCGTAATATCAACTAAAATACTCAGTACTATCTTGCTGTTTGTTTATTTGTAAGGTATTAATTACAACATACACTTTGAGCTCAGATCATTAATTCTGCAGGGAATGTCCGAGGTAGAGGGGAGTTTTTTGCATTAGAAAGCAACTTCCTTGGTGAAAAAGCATCTTGAGAACTTCATGCTCATATCTGTGCTTAGGGGTAAATTTTCAAGAAATTTATAAATGAGAGTTTCTGGAACAAAAAAGAATCCGGAGGTGTATCCATATTTCTCTCTCTTAATCTGTTCAGAAAACCAGTAGCCTTCTCTGGTTTTCAAACATTAGAATTGGTATGAGTTTCTGCTTCTCTGGGGAGCATAGATGGTTGCCATTCAGTTTGTGCATATCCAGTTACGACAATTGCAGGCCAATTTCCATTAAAAGCATGGAGTGTATCACACTAACTGCTTTTGAACTAGTTTCCTTTTTTGTGATTTTTGCCTAGTAGCAAGCTGAACTTGGTTCTTAAGCGTATTAGGTAAATTTGCTTTTATTTATTACAAGAAACACAAATTTTTCCCTGCTCCAAGTACTAATTCTTGGTTTTGTTCTTTATTTCTCTTGTATTTGTCAATATACTATGGATATTTTTATGCTGTGATCTAGATTAACTTAACAGAAGTTGTAAGCACATCTTCTTTAGACTTCTTTAGGCTTCTTAGGTTCACTTTCATTAATGTTTTGAAATATCCTTATGTTACTTCTTAAAAGAAACTCTGACATGAACAAGCAGAAATTGCTGACTGTGTCCCATGAAGAGAATTCAACTCAATTAGAAGGCTTCATGTTTGTTCTGCAACCCATACCTGCTATATGTGCTGATATTTTGCCTTAATTTTTCTCAGCTGTGCAATTATAATGAAAAACCCCAGGCACTGAGTTACAGCTTGCTCCTGTTACAAATGTTAATGTCTTATATTTTGCCTTGATATAATCTTTGAAAGGAGGGGGAGCGAATTCTTGCTGTAAAAAAGGGAAAATTAAGATATACTATGCCTTGAAAAATAGGGCTTGAAAGATAAGGATAATGAAGAGCTTGATATTCAGCTGAAAGTGTTTGATGAGAACAAAGAGGAAGACTTAATTGAACTGTCACATCGCCTCAATGACATCAGAGCTGAAATGGAATATCCTTTATAGAAATGGCATTGTAACTTGTTGCACTGTTTAATAACTTCATTAAATGTAAGCCAGAATGCTCCTGTTTATTTGTTGCAGTTGTGTATCTTACCAAGCACTTTCTCAAGCAGATTTCTTTCCACTTCTTTTTCTGTTAAAAACTTACTTAGAAAATTAGTACTCAAATTTGCATGTCAAATGGAAGTCATTGCAAACGGAATTAATTTTTCAGAAATAACATTTATTAAGTTCAACTCTAGCTTGTAATACATTGCGACATAAAATTACACCCATGGAAGATTATAAGGTTGCAGAAAAATTAGTTCTGATGAGTAAGTTGGAACAAAATTTGTAGTAGGTTCTGAAGCATGCAAGATGCATACCTTTTCTAGTTGTGAAGAAGCAGTAAATTTAAAGTTACGTAAGTTTAGAATGGTTGCATGCAGTTTTTACAAGAGCAATAGCTGGTATTTAAGAAGCTGAGGAAGGTAGATCCACCAATGAGACTATAAAATAGTATATTTATACATATTTATATAGATAGAATAGAATATTTATACATAGAATATATATTTATATATTTACATATTATTTATAGAATATAAAATCACTAAGAAGTAATATTGTTGCATTACATAACAGATAAAACCAGGCAATTTTCTTTAAGAAAATAAAATGTTTGGCTGGAGCATATTTGCCAATAGCCTGGCTCACTTCAGAAAGAACATGAAAGCTTTGTGTGTAACATATTTACAGGATTCCACTATAATAAATACGTAGTATAATTTTTCTGAGTAGTAATGCAGCATGTCTTAATTGTTAAACAGGGGGCAGTTCAGTGGATAACCTTAGCGGACAAAGGGTATTTACTAATAAGGATAGTAGTTGGGAGTGTTGAAAGGTTTAACTTGAACAATATGAACTAGAGAGCTGGGTTTGGAGTGGGATGGGTGTTTTGTTGTGGTGTTTTTTTTTTTTTTCTTTTCATTTTTTTATTATTTTTAATTTTGTTTTTTTAAGTCCTTGTATTTCCTTAACAATGTTTGCACTGATGTGAATGAAGTATTTCATCTGCTGTATAATATGTTGAAAGATACTTCCTCTGAAAATTACTTCTTATCAATTCTCCAACACTTCCTTCTCATCAGGAGTGATTACTATGTCCGGTAAGTGTCACCTGTCACGCCTTTTTTGGTTTGGGTTTGGTTTTTTTTTTTGGAGAGAGTAGGAAGAAAAAGAGAAATCAAGACCCTGGTAAACTGAGTAGCTCAATCACGCATTAATAGTTGCTCTGTAACTGATGCGTCATTCGTCTTCCTGCTCAGTGTTAATATGGAGAAGATCTTGTTAAATACAGTAATACTTACTTCAGACTTGAATCGTATTCTGTCATCCTCATCCCAAAATCTCGTAACTCATTGAGTACTTTTTCCTTTATTCAAGTATGATAACTTCATGACTTCAAAGAATTTGGAAGTTATTCGTGCAATTAATAATTGAAAATAGTTCCACAGTGCCTTGTATCTTGTCTTTGCAGTGTAAGCTTCTCTTATATATGCACCTCATAGTGTCTTAGCAGTGTCAAAGTACCACATACAAAATTTTATTTTAACAAGTATTTTTTTTGTTGTAAAGGCATGATAAAAACAATTGATACTCAAGATGATAAAATTAAGTAGTAAAACATAAACTGAGAAATCTTAATTTTTTTATTATTTTTTTTAAATTTGAAAGTTTAGCATATCATCAGTTTAGGTTTGAGGTTTTCCTACTTTGAGAGCTCTGTGGTATGGGAAATGGAGATGTAATACGTTGCACTGGTAAGAGCTGGTAATTTTGAGCACAGAAGCCCTTAATCGTAGAGGTTCCTGATATTGTTGTGTGGAGATGTATATCAAGCAATTAAGTTAATAATTAGCTCATTTTCTAAGTAATTGAATATTGGTGCTGTTGCTAGTGATGGAATGCACTGTGAGAATGTGCTAAATAATTCTTGCAGCATATGTTGAAAATACTGAAGACAATGCTTTATTAATTATTGTCTGGGAAAGGATAAATGAAAAGTGCACAACATTTTGTGGAGTCCTGAGCTTCCTCAGACACCCTTCTGAGAAACTGACAGCAGTGCTTTCTTAGCTAGAGTACAAATGAGACTTTTGACCTGATCCTTTCACTGCCAATTGTACAATATATATTAGGAGTTAGTTGCCTCTTTTTTCCCCCACTCCATATTGCATATTGCATATTGTCCCTGTTCTTATGATCTTGTAAAATGTGTTCTTTGTTAGACCACAGTATTACAAGATAATAGAAGAATGCGTATCACAGATAGTATTGCACTGCAGTGGCATGGACCCGGATTTTAAATGCAGAGGAAGAATGGACGTGGATTTTACTCATCTTATTGGTCTGTATACTATAAGCAATTTTACCTTGTTTTACTGAAGTGCACTTTTTTTTTGTATGCTTCTGTCTAAACTCAAATTGACTGTGTGAATTTTTTCCGTTTTCTGGAAATATGCATGTAAGCTACAGGTATACTTCTGGGTAAGGACAGATCAAGCTCTGCAGGCTTTAATAAAATGACACTGATGATGAGTTCTTGTCCAAGTATGTCTTGACTTATATCTGAATATGATAGTCTTAATAACCAAGAATTGCTTCTTCATAAATTCTGTGGATTTTGAGTCAGGTATAAATACCAAAATTTACATTAGCGTTAATTGTGAGTGGATTTGTAATTGTTATATACTTCATTCTAACAATATTTTCTGTAGTATTTTCCAAGCATGTGAGGTTAGTTTAAGGTAAACTAATCAGTTGAAGCATTGAGGGACTGTGGATGTTGATGTCATGTGGGAGGAAGCAGCTGAATAAATGCTGTATCATTTAAATGGCAGTTATCAGCATTTAGAAGTGTTGTTTTATGCTTTTCTTAAGATCGGTGGGGTACATGGTACTCGTGAAATACAAGGGCATCTCTGGAGTAAATATTTCATGTGGGAACGTAATTACTCTTGAGGAATGCATTCATTTGGGAAACTTTTTTTTTTCTTGTGATGTGACAAAAGGAGCAAAGGCAGGCTGTTTTACAGGTTGACTTTGGGGCTTGGGGCAGGTGGCTTTCTAAAAGACGTCCTGCATATTCAGGAAGTATTTTGGCATTTCCTCTTCACTTAGGACTCTAGAAACAGGATCGCTTGATCTTATGTTAAAAACTTACCTCACCTTGCCTTCTGTTTCCACTGACTTGCTAGTTTTAGGGATAACTGATTTGTATCTCCATGCCAGTTCCTATAATATTTGGTTACTTGTGTTTATCTCACTTATAAAATGTTTAGAGTTTTACACTGTGGGAAAAGTCGGTAGATGTGCTTTGTATCATGGTTGAGTCAAGAAATCTGTGCTTCACACTCTGTCCAAATTCTCCTTGCTTACAAAATAATTTTACTGAAGTAAGGAAATGCTTGATTTTGGATTCCTAATCTGGAAAGGAGACCTTCTGATTTGGAACCTCAGAAGTAACTTATTACTTCATACTAGTATAAAAATGCTTTTTTCATCTCTTATTTAGTAGTAGAGTCGTATAAAAGAAGGGCATGGAAACTCAAATCTGTTAGAGACAGAACAGCTATGATGATTCATCTTCAACTTTCTTGGTCATGTGTCCTCACCACTTCAGTTATATTTACAGATTTTCCTCATCAAAATTATTCACCAAATATTTGGTGGTAGGATCAATCTAGTAATTCATTGTATTTTTTTGTCTGGTTTTCTGTTGGGGGTCATAGGGTAATTATGGTTGGAAGGCCCTTCAGAGCTGTGATACATTTTACGTGACTTCTCTATGGTATTGTTTTTAAATTCTAGATGCATGTGTGGATAAAGCTAAAGTAGAAGAGAGTGAAAAGAAAGCAGCAGAATTTTCCAGAAAGGTAAGTCCTAATCATCACTTTTTTTTACAGTACGGAGCAGAAGCCTGACAGAAACACTGTAGGGTTGTTTGACTGTAGGAACTTAGTGGAAACTTGGAAATAGTGTATTGCACAGGCAGGATGTTCTTTCACATCTAACGGCTCTCTGGGTTTTGAGGTTGTGTGTGTGTGTGTAAGTCTCAGATTCCACATTCCTCTGAATTCAAAAGGAGATGAGTGATATTAGCTGTACGTATCTTCCCTTGTATTCTTCTGCTGTAGATAAGTGATGGGAAAAATTCCCTTTCTTGCTATTTGGTAGTGAAATACTTAGTCATAGTTAAATACCTAAAGTGCAGGTATGTGCCTAAAAAAAAAAATATGTGGAAAATGTTTTTTGTTTTGTTTTGGAACCTGAAGAAATTTAACAAAAAGCAGTGTAATTCAATGTTTGAAAAAGCATCGATTCTTTAGGCACAGAGATGCTAACATGAAGATGTTTCTTTATTTCCTTATGATAACCATGATAAATTATTCCATTATAAGGGAGGGTAATTTATTTCCTCGTTACTCACATTTAGGAATCTTACAGTGCATTTTTGAACCTGTTTTGTTAACAGTTTTATTCTTCTGGTCCAGTTCTCTTTGGAAGAGAAGAGAGCTTAGATTAGGCGCTTGATAACTAAGTCCTATTTTGGTCATGGGCACTTTTCATGTATTACTAGGTACAGGAGAGGTTAGACATTTAAAATTATTTCTGTAGGAAGAATTCCACCTCAGTATATTTCTTGTTATAAATTTGGGGGGGGAGTTTCTAAAGAAATTAACGCTTATCCTTCTGCTTTATCACTATTGGTGTTTGTGCTAAAAATATCATGATACAACATGTTTTCTCAAGTTACTTAAATTCCTGTTTCCTAGATTATGTTAGTGGATAATTTGTTAACTTAAGCTCAGCACATTCCATCTAAGGATGTGAGACGCTGGATGTACTATATTAGCTGCAAAAGTACAAAAGTTCGTGTACCATGTTGTGTAGTAAAAACATTCAAAACTTTGATTTTTGCTGACATGGTCTAAGCAGCCTTTTGTAGGCCACAAGGCAGTACATGTTCTTGAACATGATGATTATGAATTTCAGATGAAGGGTTGAATGAAGTCATTAGCTTTTTTTCTCTTCTATGTTAAACATAGATGCATTTTTAATAGGAGTTACGGTGTCTGAACTTTATAGACATCAAATTGTTGTGATGCTTCTCTGGAAGAGTTATTTATCATAATGCACTTTGTTCGTGGCAGTCAGCACATCTTCTTTCTAGTTGTAAGTTGTTTTGTCCTGTGCAAGAATGATTAGGAGAAGCTTTTAAAGATGCTAGAAATCTTTTAAGCCTCGCAAACAATAGCAGAATGAAAATACAAGGCAAATTTCTCACAATCATGCTGTAAACTGGACTGCCATTTTATATGGGGACATCAAGACTAAAGGGATCACTAACTTGTTTTGATGCCTCCTTTCTTATGTTACTTTATGGATGATACTGCTGAAGCTGCACGCATCTCTTCAGATTTAAGCTTGCTGCATGAGATGTATACTTGAGTTTAGTTTAAGAAATCTGCAATGTTCTGTTGTGGGGGGGAAATCCTGTTGAATTTACAGCTGTACTAAGTAGCTGATCTGAGTGGTTCTGTGTCGTGACTTGTTGATGGAAGAAATGATGTGGCACTAGAAGAACACATAGTGGAAAAAGACTGGGTTTTTTTTTTAAGTTAAAATTGCATCTATTGCTCTAGTTTTGATATTGTTCAAAGAATTCCTGAAAGTATAGTATCTAGTGTGGACATAAATGGACAAACAGTTCTGTGTTGGTTAATCATTACAGTTTGATGAAGAGTTCACAGCTCGACAAGAGGCACAAGCAGAGCTTCAGAAACGAGAAGAGAAAATCAAAGAACTTGAAACAGAAATCAAACAGCTACGAACCCAGGTAATAAAACTAAGTCACAGTAAGTTCCACAGTTGAATTTCTGTGTGTGTGTATGTATGTATGTATTTATTAAAGAGTTGAAAAGAAATTGCCCAGGAATGTATTGTCTCCATGTAGTTTGCAATGTATGTTATAGTTGTATTGATTTGTTTTTAAGCCATGATAACCTACTAGGGATAGTTAATGGAGGTGACACTTTTTCAAATAGTAGTATATTCATCACTTGTCACAGATAGTTGCTTTTTTGAGGAAGAAGTTTCCTTAGGCTATGTAAAGTTTGAATCCAGCCTAAGTTTTTTTTTTTTCCTAAGTACTTATTTATGCTTTAACGTTACTACTTCTGTATGTTTTGCAGAGTGTTTTGGAAGGCTTTATACTTGAATTGCAAAGGTGGAAATTATGATAGCTGTGCATGCAAGCACAATATACATACCTTTCAGCATGTGCATGCAAGCACAATATATATACTTTTCAGCATGTGCATGCAACTGATAACAAAAACATTTTTTTTTAACTCTGGCTATCAGACTGTAGCCATTTCTAAAATGTATATTACACTAGCTTTATTACAGTCTCATAGGTAAATATAACTAAAAAAAAATGCAAGACCTTATGGGACTGGAAGGTGATACTTAATTTCAGCAAAGGTGATACTACTTGCATTCATTTTCTCATGAATTTTGCTCACAAGCACCAGAAGTGTATCTCTAAGGCATCTGTCCTGGATGACTAGTGAAGCAGAGAGGACAAGAAATGCTGCCTGTTGAGCCGTCACAATATCTCTTGGGTTTCTTTTGTTTAATGACAACGAACTGGGTTTTAGACAAGCCTTTTATATCCTTTAGAAACCAACAGATACTATGGTTCGATCTTTTGCCTCAGCCTGGCTTACTTCCTACCCCTTCAATGCTAGGCAAGGTCTGCCTGTTGCCTTTTTCTCTCTTTGCGGGTATTTTAATGCTGATGGTCTTACTTCCTTTTTGGATAATAAGAGGAAGAATAGCATGTGAGGTGCTGTAACCTGGTTGCCATAGTCCTGCTTTCAGAATGCTGGTCTTCTGCTGGCAAGTTGTCTGTGCTATAGCCTTTTCAGAGCACTGGCCTTGGCATCTTAATGTAAGCACGTTACGTTGCATTTAACACCTGGGCTGCTGTTCATTGTGTCCTTCACTATCAGTACAAGTCATTCTCGTAACCTGTGGTGTCTTACGGTTTGTTACTCTGTGTTCACACACAGACACTTCTCATACTTCATTCTTAACAATTTTAATGTTTGTTTCAAATATCTACAAGATGATGTTACACTGAAATTTGACAGTCTGTTTTGATGAGTAGTGCAATTGTTGCAGTACAACTTCTGTAGTAGTTTGTGGGCCAAAGAAACACATGCCTTGTGCAAAGCCAAAAATTTATATTTAGTCTAATTGATTATTAATCCTGTTAAATTGATACTAACACAATTCAGATTATCCAGACATTAAAGCTCACTCACAATAATGGTACAATTAAAAGTGATAGATAGTAATTTTCTAGCATCTATGCCTTTTTTTCCTGTAGTGTTATCCTCTGTATATGCCACAATATATTGTGGCATTTCTTTAGATGCTCTCAGACTTTTCTCAGCTTCTTTTTTTTTTTTTAAGCAATCTCTTGCTTCCTTTGAACTAGAAACAGTGAATAATTGTGTAGGTAAATAGTATGCAAACCAGAGTAAATGAATAGCCTATATTACATAATTTTGTAATAAAAATTAGTAGCAGAAATAGAATATGAGCTGGTATGGCAGTTTATGTATAGTTCCTGATGCTGCTTTTTCATAGCTCCTGATGGTGCTTTTTAACAGATAGTTTTGAAGGACAAGTATCTGTGAGGAATTTGTACTAGGCTAGGATCATGTTATCACTACAGAAACATCTCTGATGGTTTAACATGCTGATGTTTCTTTTCACTGTTTGTTTTAAAACTTCTTGGAAGGTATATTGCAGTTGCTCTTTATTCCTATCACCACAGAAACAACTGCAGACAGATTCAAAGGAGAACAAGATTATTCTGCCTGCCTGGTCCCTGCCCTGCTCCCCCCCCCCCCAAGATGTCAGGATAGTTATGAACAACTGTGGTCCCATAACCTCTTGCACTGCAATAGCTGCTTCAGTGATTTCTGTGGGAAACTTTCCACTAGCAGATGAATGTTGTTAAAATTCAGCATGGTTATTACCATTTCTGATGCCCCAGCTTGCCAGGATACCCTAAGTGGGATAAATGTTTTGTGCATTGGTAAGAAATAAAGTGCTGTTCTGTTCACTTAAATGTTACTGCTACTATTAAATTTTCTTTAAAATGGAAACAATTTATTTTTATAAAAATGCTAGGTTATTTAGTTTACTTGGCAGTTTTATGGTACATGGTTTAATCTATTGTTACTGCTTCTCATTTAAATAAGAGAACGGTTGCATTCTCACTTTCTTGAGGTACAGTTGACTACAAGACATCCTACTTGATTCAACTTCATATTAAACCTCCTTCCCTCCACCCTTTAAAAAGAATTCCTTTTTTATATTTCAGGGTCCAGGCCTGACAGGTCAACTGGCAGAAGTAGCACCATTACCTCCATCCCTACCAAGTGAGAATGTGCCACCACCTCCAGCGCCTCCGCTACCTGGTGGAGCAATACCTCCTCCTCCTCCGCCACCTCCACTACCTGGTGGAGTAATACCTCCGCCACCTCCGCTACCTCCGCTACCTGGTGGCGTAATACCTCCGCCACCTCCGCTACCTGGTGGAGTAATACCTCCGCCACCTCCGCTACCTGGTGGAGTAATACCTCCGCCACCTCCACTTCCTGGTGGAGCAATACCTCCTCCTCCACCACCACCACCTCCGCTACCTGGTGGAGCAATACCTCCGCCACCTCCACTGCCTGGTGGAGCAGCACCCCCACCTCCCCCTCCACCTCCTCCGCTGCCGGGGGGCTCCGCTGCCAGGTGGAGCAGCACCACCTCCACCTCCTCCGCTGCCAGGTGGAGCAGCACCACCTCCACCTCCTCCGCTGCCGGGTGGAGCAGCACCACCACCTCCACCACTGCCTTTTGGTGGGCCTCCAATGCCACCAGCTCTTGGAGGTGTTCCTTTTGCTCCCTTTCTGGTGACACCAGCATTACCACATGGCATGAAGGAGAAGAAAAAGTATAACCTGGAAGTCTCAATGAAGAGAATCAACTGGTCAAAGGTATTAGAGTGTTTGTTTTTATTCGCATTGGTAAAAATTGGCTTTTGAGGAAGGAGGTAGTGTGCTAGAGTTTACATCAGATTGTTAATAGTACTCATGAAGTTTGGGGAATTATTTCCATTCTTTATCCAAAGGATTTTTTGATGCAGTGATTGTGATTCAGTTAGTATTGGTTTTCAAAGATATCTTATGCTATTGGGTAAGCTTCAAGTGTTTAACGCTGCCAAGAGCCCATAACACCCCTAATTCTTGGGATACATGTAGCTAACAGCTCTCCGAATTTTGGCTGGTTTTGTATAGAGTTAAGTTGTACATGTTTTCAGTTGTAATTGATATTTGACTTGCCAAGTGAGCATTTTGAAGGTAAACCTGCTTTAAACAACACATTTTATTTTAAGTTATCAAACAATTAAAATGTTTATAAATAATTTAACTACTTTTTTCAGCAAAAAGTTGATTTAGTTAAAGGATTGCTTGGTTTTAAGACAGGGGAAATGAATCTTGAAGTAGATAATTGGGTGGAAAACTATTGGGAAGACTGCCATTTAGGAACTTTGACAATATGGCAGTTGACAGAAAGAAGGATCTGAAGTCAAGGGATAAATAGAGCTGTTTGCTTAATTGAAGTAGCTGTGGCTGAGTAATGAGAAAGGATGTCTGAGATGTATTAAGAGGTTTTACTTGAGCTTCTACGTGTAACATGCAGTACAAGTACACAGACATAAACTATTAGAATTTTCTTTTTAAAGGCAGATGTCTTGACATGAAGTTAAGAAACATTTTAAGATCAGTCCTCTGAATAAGTGCAGTAATTCACTATAAATTAAAGCATCTAATTAAGAAATTATTTTGTGTTCACATTTCTTTTGTTCTTGTGATATATTCTGGAAGCTTGAAAGAAAATTTGACTTTCATTGCCTTAACTGCCTGTCAATGATAGTTGTACTACAAAACACACTTTAACAGGGTTTTTCTTTCTCTGATGAAAGGCAGGTGTTTACCTTGTTAAGACAGTTGTAAAACTTATCAGAAGATTCTAAAGGCAAGGGTGTTATTAAACATCAGTTTTTATTGTAAGCATTGAAAAAATTTTTACTACACGTAATTTTTAGCTATCTAGTTTTGTGTAGAATTATTACTGCATTTGATTTAGCAATACATGGTTTAATATTAAACTTGAGTTGAAGTCATGGCTCTATTAGGGTTGTGAAGCTGATGTTCCTCCTCTCTCCTTTGCTTTACAAATTTAGTTACTGTACTGTATACTACAATGAATTTTTAAATGAGATGATTCTCGACAGAACATCGTGTGTGATGTTTGACAGATGAGCATCCGAGGAAGCTGAGTTCCACTACAAAACTTCTTTTTAAAATCTGTGGGTTGCACATTGCTAGGCGAGAGATTTCTTTCTGTGAGAGCTGTCAGAGCATGTGTGCTAAGCTCAGTGGATTTCTGTAATGACAGCAGGAGATGGCAGTAGGTAACTGCTGTGTTTTCTCTCTCTTTTGGCCCTGTCACGAGGGCAGGTCAGAGAGGATGTGTGTGACTGCTCAGAGTATGTGGAGTATGGTCGGTGAGTGAACACTCACTGAATTTCATAGTTTTGCAGAGTTGCTTGTATTGTTGATCTATATCAAAGCAAAGAGGAAAACTGTGATGACCCAAAAGGAAAGATACGGCACTGTTCTATTAGGTGCCACAAATACGAATTGTGACTTTGCAATAAGCTGCGTGCATATATCCAAACTATTAAGAATAGTTCTAAATGAGTTTTCAAACATAGATAACAGCGTTCTAGTTCACGTAGAAGCCTTCGAAGTTGGTGATGCCTAATATAAGCTGTAAGTTCAGCGAGTGCTGGTGTCTGTACTATAATGGTACTTGCAGGTTATTAATCTCAGAGATGTTTGTTGGTTGTTTGACATGGGTAGTGTGCTGGGGCAGCCTTATGGCCACTGGGAGGAGCTACGGGACTGCCCAAATGAAATGTTTGGGCACCATTGACTTCCAATGAAGGTGAGCTTCTGCACAGTCTTAACATCGTTATATTTAATCAAATTTCATTTTTTACAACACCTTAAAATAGAAACATTTCCGTGTAGTAAACTGCAAGCACAATCTCTGATTTGCAAAGTAATGTGTGCGAGCAATTACTAGTTTTTCTTGCCTCTGAGTATGATCGGTCACTTTGTGACAAGAGAAGTTACGCAAGTACCCAGGTGTGTGTTTGTGTATGTGTTGCTTTAACATCCCATTTTGATCAGTAGGTATAGCCACTGTTACTTCCATATAAAGGAAATACATTTGGAGTACTAGATAATTGCATCTATCATCAAGACTAAACCATCACATCTTAAAGGTAGTTTGTGCTTTTCAGTTTTTAGTGGTATAAAATGTGATAGATGTATTGAGGTTTGCTGTAGGAAAAATTACTTAGATCTCCAAATCATCAAGGCAAATGAAAGGAGGACCTTTACACATTACAAGCTATCTGATTTGAGCTCTAGCTTAGACTTCAGTGTAGTTTGGCTGGTTATCTGCTACTTACCTGTCAAGACACTAAGTGTTGTACTACTAGGTAGTGTCTGACACTTTCCTTGAAAACCATATTTTGTTGCAATGGGAACTTCAGTAAAATCAAATTGTTGATGAAAGTAAGCTGTTAAGTAGCTACAGATGGTCATTGACTGTAAGTTGCAATTTAACACAGAACAACTGTTGAACATGTAATTTAAGTAACACTCTGAAATAGTGCAGGCTTTCTTCAGGATGTTTCAGAGCTGATAAAACTGTTGGGAAAATCATATGCATGTAGATATATATCTCTATAAAGTTGGACGTTATCATGTTGTCCTGGATGGAGCTGGATGACACGGGATGCCAGATGTTACTCCTTGCTGAGGATGCTATGTTTTTTCAATATGAAGCCTCTGAAATGAATCACATAACTGGATAGCAATAACAGTCCTTTGTTTTCACAATATTGCTAGGACACAGGATCATACGTCCATCCAATTCTTACATAGCACATCTATCCTGGCAGACATAATGGAATTTCAGTTTTACGACTGTATGTAAAGACAGATGGTGTTAGGGCAACAGCACTGGACTGTGTTTGGAAAACATTCTAGTTTTTTCCCCATGGGTTTTTCAGGTGCTTCAAGTTAAAGTTGTTAAGTAGCATTTCTGAATGTATACCATCACCACTTCAAGCAAAATCTTTCAAGAACTAGTAAGGACAGCAGTTTACTGTTGGAAGAGGAACTAGACTGTCCTCTGATATTTTTGAATAAGTGATCTTAATCATCTTTCTAAACAAAAAGCAAGCTTAGATTTTGTGTTCCTGTAAATTCTGAAGTATTGAATGAAAGTGGCTCTTTCTTTGGAGTAACAAATAAGAGCAGTATCGTGAATGATTCATCCTACTAACTTCAGAAGGAGGAATCTAGAAGGTCGAGAGAAAACTGTGTGGAAATGCATGGCGTGACAATTTATAGCTTCTTTTAACAGAACAATTAATCTTTATAACTTACCTTTAGTATTTTGCCACTGGATTTCAAAGTACTTGGAAATGTGGCAAAATAATCTTGAAGTGTATCTAGCAGTAGTAGTTTAAAAACAGGCTTTTAAAAAATTTAAGTAGAAGGATATTCAAAGTAGTCAACCATGTTTTCAATGTGTTAATTTCAATAAATCTTAAAATAAATTTGAAGCTCTCTTCACTTTTTCTGTCTGTCATTCTTATAGTCTGCATATAAGGATAAATGGTAAATTTCCTTCTTGGCTGTGGGAGGAGGGTCTAGGGGGAAAAAGACCTTAGACCTTTGGTTTTGGTTGGCAGTCATCAGTGTGCATTCTTAGGGCTACAGCACAGCACGACAGTGCCAGCACCTTCAGAGCTGCTATGGAGAATTGTAGATGAGGGTGATGTTACAATTACCTGTAGAGACTGCAGCACAATGAAATTGGTAAGGGGTTTTCTTTATTTAGAGGTAATTCTCAGTGCATTTCCAGGAAACTGGAAAGTTTTTTGAGAATAAGTATTAACTTTAATGCTTCTGAATTTAAAAAGGAGTTGTGTAGTCCTGCTGTTATCTTAAAACATCTGTACAAAATACCTTTAACCACCTGTCAGCCACACCAATGTATTTTTTAGAAGGAAGAAATGGACTGTTTCAAGTAGCTTAATTACATTATTAAAAAGCAACAGCAATGTATGTGTTGTCATGCTGGAAAAGATGCTCATGTATTATTTTGAGAAATATGGCATTACCCAGTGTTAAAATCCAGAGATTTGGGTAGGTTTTTTCCTGGGAAACTCTTGTAGCCATATAAAAGTCCTTTTAGTTCATGTACTCTTATGAATCATTTGAATTATACAGTTTGTAACCTTTAAAACCCTTATAGAAAAAAAGTCACTTCTCTTCCTGTAAAGTGTTTATTGTCTGTTGAAGATACTTTACCACTGAAGGTCCTTGTCTTCTGTCTGTTTGGAAGATTACTCACTTCAAAACTTCTCTCATACAATTTTCTGGATTTTTTTAAAAACTATTTTTCCTCCTTTTGAAATGGAGCTCTAATGTTTTAAAGTGCATTTCCACCAGGGCTTTTAAGAAAATGTTTTGTGGCTCTTGTTTCAGTTAGCTTCTCTTAGGATCTTTGATTTCCAGATTTTTATATTAACTCTCTGTATCTGTTTGGGTATTTCGATCCAGACTTTTTTCCTTATAGAACATACGTTTCATCACAGATTTAAATTTTGCTGATTTTCTTAATGGGAAGAATATAATTTCTTTGCCATTGGCAATAGCAATCTCTTCTGAAGTTGCTGCTCATCTTTGACTCGCCACTGCTTTGTCTGGTTAGGATAGTTTCTGTCCTACAATTCATTTATCTTTTTCATTTATTTAGGCATCTTAAGCAGGGAAGAATTCCTGCCATGCATGTAGTTAGGCTTGCTACACTCAGAGGTTGTTGTTAGGTTCTATCTCATTCTAGAGTCAGTTCTGCTAGTTTTGTAACTGTGAAACATACTCAGTACTATCCTGTAAACATATAGAAAAACAAGCTTTTTAGTTTGTAATACATATTGGTCATTGCAGCCAATTTCATTGTAATCCACTATGTCCGTGTGTTCATCAAAATAATTTATAAATTGTGTATCTGAACACGGTGTATGACAATAGAAAGTAACTGCAGATGGACACTTTGCTTAAGTTCTCTGGGAACAGTGCCAAAGAGATCCTGCATACTGAAAAAGAAGAAAGTCTATTTGATCATCACTTTTAAGGAGCCATTGTTTTGGGAATAAAATCCTTACTGTTTAATTTAGTGCCTTTTGTTGTAACTGTCTTTACCATTAGTGTTGGATTAAGGTAGTTTTTAAAAATATCTTACCTGCAGCTGGTGGTAAAGCAGCTACACATAAACAGATTGATCATAGGGTAAAAGGTGGAGGACCAATGTCTTGTAGTGAAATCCTAGTGAGGCTTACAAATATAGTATTTATTAACTTCAAAATTATGTGCAAGAAATTTAATAGCCCTTGAAATTTAATTGGCGTTTAAACAGACTTGTAAGCCAGAATTTAGAAGATTTTTAAAAACTGGAGAAGGAACATATTTTGGGAACAAAAAAGCTGTTCTGATCCATTCATGAAGAGTAAAATTTGCTTTTGGCTTGTACATAGCAGAGTATTTTCTTCTTTTAATGTAGCCAGTATGAAATAAGGTACTATAATGAATTTCTTGCTTATGTTTTGAAAATTAAAACTGTTAAAAAAAAGGTGATATTAAGCATAAAATTACTTCTGATACTTAAAAAGATAACTCTTCCCGCAGACTTAATACTGAGTCACTGAAATGTCCATTTTGACCTATCATTTGCAAATAAGTTACTCAGAGCTCTGTCACTGTAAGAAAGACTATTCTTGCTACACTTGTCAAGTAGCAGGGATGCATGTAAGTGGGGAAGAATTTGGGAACTGTCTAGAAAGAATCAAGAGAAAGATTGAACACTTCCAGGCCCAGATGCTAGTATGTTATCAAACCTGTTTGGAAATGTAATAAAAAATCGTTGTGTAGATAGAGGGCAGTTCATCTGATGGTGTTTTGTTCAGGAAGCGTCTTGAAGAGAACATAATACCTGGAACATACTTAAACTTAATTCAGTCCAATTATCACAAAAGTCTAGTAGCGTTGGCTTTAACTTGGCTATTGAAAATACTAGTTATTAACTTTGGACATGCCATTTTTGTTTCAGATTGAGCCTCAAGAAATAGCAGAAAACAGCTTTTGGGTAAAAGCTGAAGAAGATAAATTTGAAAACCCAGAACTGTTTGCAAAATTGGCGCTTACCTTTGGAACACAAATGAAAGGTACATTCGTCTTTTTGTATTATGCTTTTATTAAGTTTCAAATCATGCAATGACAGTCTCTTTTATGCTTTGTGCAATACCATGGAATTCGTATAAGAGTTTTATAGCAGGAAGATGATTTAAAATGTATGTCTTTATTAAGCATGGCAGTTCATTACAAGAATTGCTCCTCCTTCACTCTACAGCATGAGGGGAAGAACCTTTTGTCATAATACCCCTTAAAAGTGCATCATATGTTGCAGACAGATGCACATTTTCTTCAAATTAAATTATAAATGAATTTAAATCCTAAAATCGTGCTTATCTGCATTAATATTCCTAGCTGCAGAAACTGTAAGTTGTCAGGTTCTTTTAGATACTCCATGCATGGAGGGTTTGTTGTGTAACAAAAACTTGCTTGTATCACTCTACTAAGTCAAAATCCTCTATGAGTACAAGTTAAGACTTAGAATGTAGCAATTACAATATGCAGCTGAACTACAAAACCACAACTCTATAATATGCCTGCTGTCATTATTCTGGAACATGTGGGTTGAAACCAAAAGTTCTTGTGTTTGTGTCCTTAGTCTTTTCTTTCACTTTTTTTTTTTTCTTTTTGAATACTAAATGCAGCTCTTTAAAGAAGAGAAGAGACTTTAAATATAATGCTTTAATTAGTATTTAAATTTGTGTTGTGTAATCTAAGAAGCATCCACCCACAGAGTCATACACAGTGAGAGTGCATTGCTACTGTCATTAGGGAATGACATAAGTTAGTTTTCAGTGTGGTTGAATGTGTGAGTGCACACTCTTTAAACCGTTTGCATAATACCATGGGAAAGTGTCAGATACTGATTTCTATTGGAACACAGAGTGAAATGGGTCTGTTTGACTCCCAGAGAGAACTACACAGTGAGAATAAAAACTATGCTGGAGCTTTCTGTCAAGTGTAACGGAGGCTGCTCAGTATGTCATGTAAATAGCTCTTCTGCTATTGGTTTTAGGTGAAAAAAATGATTAATTTCTCAACCACTTAATTCTTTCAACAGGAGATATGATAATATTTATATCTGGAGTTGGGAATGCAGTTACTAACAACTGAATATTGGTTATGATTTTGATAATTTAATACCATCCTCACCTCTTCGTGGCTTTCAGATGGTCTTTGAGTACTTCTGAAGCTGCATCAGCCTCTTCAAGTCTCTTCATTATTATCCATGGTTAATGGTCAATTGATCAGTATTTCATGTGTGACCATTTACGAGTAATTTATTTCAGGCACTGAAATGAAGCAAGTACTGCTGAAGAATTGTTCAGTAATAACTTACTCAGGTGCTAATGAGGAAGCCCAGCAAATTAAAGTCCAGGAAGTGGTAGATACTGAAAGAATGAATTCTTGATGTAGCTACAAATCTTGTGACCATTTATCTACCAGTTAGAATACGATACACCTTAAGGATGTTCTTGGCAGTGGATGAAGTCAGATGCATCAAGTGTTGATAGGGCAAATCTGAATAAGCAAACACACACATAAGATGGTAAAGTGTGTACTGACTGTAAGCATTTTTGTGCTCCTATTTACCTTTTTGGCTTTGAGAAATAACAATTAATGTGATGCTTTGTACTTTAACTGTAGGAGTCTTCTGTTTTAATATGAACTGCTAGAATGCTCTCACTTCTGTCAATTACTGGAGGATTTTATAATTTCAGAATTAAGTTCTATTGCACATAGAGGTTTGTGGTATCCTGGCTGTTGTCTGTATTGCAGGAATAAGAACTGCAGTTTATATAATACTGTGTTTGAAAAGTTAACTCAGGTTAATTAAGGTCTCTCGGAGGACCATAACTTTCCTGACCCATTTCTTGAGTAGATTCCTTGAGCTATTTCTGAATGTCTTTTTCTGTGCTCTCTTGAAATGCCTTCAAAGAGTTAGTCATAGGTGTGATTTTCGTAAGATAAATATACAGTTCTTTCACTTGGAGCTCTTTCTCTTTTCAGTAGTCACTGAATCTGAGCCATTAGTATTCGGCTTGTACAAGGTTTCTCGCTTCCTGCTCTAAATGTTCAGATGTTACATGCAGTAACACAAAAGTATCATCTGCAGTAATTTAATGCTTTTTTCCATACCAAAGTTTGATACGTTCTTGGTTCATAGCATTGCAGAGAGGTTAGAATAATGTGGACTTCGTCAGTGGTTTTAGTGTGACAGCAAGACAGGAACACCTTGAAGGGAAGGAACAGCAGATAACACAATGGAATGAGATCCTTCTTAATGAAAATGACAAGCTTCTGCTTTGAGCTGAATTCTTTGTTCAGAAATCTGAAGAAATACTTCTGAATTCATGAAAAACATCTTCATTAAGAATGCTGAAAAAACCCTCTTGAAATTTTGACATAGCTCTGGGTTTCATATGAGAGGATATTCCTCTTAACATAGTTGCACAATTCTAAAACTACGAACAACAGAATTTCTCTAAATAGCTTGCAGTGGTGATAACCTTGCAGATATTTTTCTTGTTCTTCCTTATATTGTTCTCAGTTAATGGTTGTAGAAAATGACATGCCATAATGAAGGATGGGAAGACTTAAAAATGCAACTACATACCACCTGGGACATTACTGATCAGCCAAATAAGGTTTTAGAGAAAGTCAGTGTTGTCTGTCTTAGAGTACAACTTTTTCCTAAAACTTGAAAACCTACTAGAAGGCAGGAAGAGTCTCAGAGCATTAATTGCAGCACAGGCTCAAATAATTGCATTCCACAAGCAACTTTTTCTGCAAGTGCTATCTGCAAGGGGAAATATTAAAAGGATATTCACCATTCTCCCTCACCTTTTGCCTTAACAGCTGCAGGCAGCTCATTTAATCCCCAAAATACTTACTTCAAGTATAATCCAGGATCAAATTTCTCTTCTGCTTTAATCCTGTTTCTTGGTGTGGTCTCCTAATATACTACAGGAGAATGATAGAAAGATGAAGAGGAATGCATTTTATATTCTCAAGAGCACAATCAGCATGTAAAGCAAATAAATGGGTGAGTGGAAGAAAACTGACAATTGCCAAAAGCAATTGTGGTGACCTAGTGTTTACTGTCTTGTATTCCATGGCATTTTGGAATGCCAGTGGGAATGCAGCACTAAGATTTGATTAAAACTCTGAATTCTATTCATGATTCTCCTGGTACAATGAGAATGAAACTTTGGGGTTCTTTCCTCATTTAACAAAGTTTTGTTTTAAGGTACTTCAAGAATAACTTCATGTTGGTTGTCACTAAACTATGTGCTGCCTTGCTATCTGAGTACTACTGCCTGTTTTCAAGGAAGGCAGCCAAGGCTGCAGGGACGTGGTAGTTCTGGAGATCAAAAGTAGAGACGGGTGAGAGGAAGTCATAACAATACACTTCTGAAGCACAATTTTCATTAGTTAGCAAATTATTAAATTCATCAGTTAGCTGCTTGTAAAACATGAGAATGTTTAATCATAGAGCACCAAACACAAAGGAATGTTCCCTGACTGGTAAAATAATTTTACTTCAAATATACTTTTTAAAAGCAAGTTTAGATCCAAGTATGCACAAGGTTAAATCTTTACTTGCTACTGTAACATCAGATACTTAATACTGATGCCCCATGAATATGTGGAATGTATTTAGTTAGGTTCAAATCAGTACTAACAGTCAAACTGCAGTATTTGCTCTGTGAAATCAGTTACTGAGCACAGTTACGAAAACATCTGTTGTACAGTGAGCGATGGAAACATTAAAACATGCTCCCTTTCAGACTTTACCGATTTTTGAGATCTTGGGGTTTGAAGTAAGTTAACTGAGATGTAATTATCACTGTCTCAATACAGCCTGGAAGGATTTTTCACCATTTTTCTTGAAGAGAAATACAGGTGATTTCAATACCTTTTAAGGGCCTCTGCTGAATGGACTGCCGGGCTTCAAATTTTCATTAAAGGTCTTAGATGAGTGTTTTGAGCTTGGAATTGTGCTTCCAGATGCAGAAATTGAAACAATGATTATAGTCTCAAAGACCATTTTGGCAAGTAAATGATATTCCAGGTCAGGCACATTTGAAAAATGAACAGGCATCTGTGGTGGCTGTTAACGAGTTGGGCGTTATTAAGATACGGGATACTTACTGCATTGTGGGTGCCAGTGAAACACAGGGATGCATGTTTCCTTGCATAGCTGCACAGAAGATAAGAATAAAGATGGTATGAGTTTCCAATCAGTTACTTGTTTTCATTTGACCTGGTTAATTCTAAGAGAGACTCTGATATCATCCAGACTTTTTTTTGTTTTTGTGAATCATATGTTGCTTAACAGTAACAGCAGTGATTTTAATGGTGAAAGCAGGCATCATCCGTTCACACTGTTTGAGCCATGACTTGAAAATTTCAGGGTCAGTATTATTTGGTTTGCAAAATAATCTTGGCATGGATTGATTTGTGTTTTGATACTTAAATAGTAAGAGGAAGAAATTCTATTGAGGTATTGTTAGCTTGACCTCATCTTGTTATTTTTTTTAAACAATTAGATGGTACTTGCAAGCACCAGTTTCTTCAGACAAGTTTTTTTTTAACGAGGAGGTTAACCTTTATGTAGTGAGGTGTTTGGTTTTTTTTCCTTTTTAAAACTTGTGTGATCAGTTTTAAGCTTTGTGTGGTCACATGAATGTTTCTTTAATTAAAAAAAAAATACTTTCCACTTTAAGGAGGAAAATGTGAAATAAACTCAGTGAACAGTCCTCCTTAGCTGGATGACATAGTATATCAGGCTGTCATTGCAGAATACAGCAACCCTGCAGTATTTCTCAATAACTGAAGAGAGGAGATGAATGCATCTTGTCCTTGTGAGTCTATTGTGTGATCTTAAGTCATTAATTGCTGTTAATGCACAATGAAATAACAAGGTACATTTTCAACTAAGAGTAACTTCTTGTTGATGTTCTTTAGATGGTCCCACTATCAAAATTACAGAAGTAAAAAACCCACATATTTTTGATTAAATTAATAA